CTTGTTCCATTAGCAGGGTGTCTCACTTACCTCCTTAATTTACGAAAAAGTGCACTTAATTTAAGAAAAATTGACTTATTGAGATTTACATTTTTTGCAGTGTGCAAAGAAAGATTTGAAAGTAAAAATAAATGTTTTAAACTACTTTACTTGAAAATAATTGTTTTGTTTCAGTTTAAACAATATTTCTTGTTTTTGAACCATCTTTATGGCCCTAATTTGGCTCCATAGAATTACAGGGAAGTGACAATGCACGGAATCAAGGCATGATATCTCAAAGCTGAATGGATCGGCACACATCTGCCCATACCAGAAAATACTGACCAAAATATATCTTCTTGCCGATGTATCGGTCCAACTACATTATGAATTAAGGTCTATTTACCAGAAGACATGATCCAAAGACATGATCTAATTTCCATCTAGAGGAGATTTGGAGAGAAAAAAGAAAAGTGATGTTTTACTTTGAACCATTTTTAAACAGAGAATCTGTCTGTTAATCTTGTTCATGTCATGTTTTAGGTAAATATCTGACCAGCATGCAGAACAACAATCAGCAATCTGGAAATGATTTAAAGAGTTAATTTCACAGAGTCTATAAATGAACAGAAATCCAGGATCAAGGATGATAGGTCAGGATGTGTCAGGAAGTTAGTCAGGGGATGATGACAGTCAGGATCCAGGAGGTTAGTTTCACCTGTACTTTCAAAGCAATCTTGGGAAATCCGCCAGAAGGAGTTATTGGACTTGAACCAGCAACCTGAGAGCAACAAATTGACTTGGCTCTTGATGTGACTTAAAGATGCTCAGTTGGACGTTCTCAGGTCTCTGTTTAGGAGTGATGAGATCCTAGAGTTTGAAACAGGGATTTAGTCTAGTCTAGCTCACCACCACAACAAAACCCATAATGCTTTCTGAGGTGAGCTCTTGCAAAGCATCCTGGGATATAACCATGGATGATCACTACTTTTCAAGGTGTATTGAAGGAAATTTTAAGTCCACTACTTTTTCATTGACTAGAGCAGTGATTCCCAACCAAAGGTGCGTTACTCCTAGTGGTACACAAGAGCATTGCAAGGGGTAAGAACAAAATGTCCAAATGGGGACACAAGTCAAACATGGTTGGGAAACAATGCATTAGAGGTTTGGACACACATGTAAAATGGCATAGCCACTATATAGTGCTCTATATAGGGATTAAGGGTTAAGCCGGGGGTACAGTGTGCGATTTTTTTTCACTGTACAATTTTTTCAGATTTTTTGCACGCAGCTAAGACGAACAGTCGATGGAGGGGGGGTGAGGGGTCATTGATGATGTCACCGGCTCGGGACATGCAGCGCTGGGATGAAATGTCTTTAATGGAGGGAAGAGGAGCCCCCATGATCCTCTC